CTCTCTCTCTCTCTCTCTCTCTCTCTCTCTCTCTCTCTCTCTCTCTCTCTCTCTCTCTGTTTCTCTCGTGCGCGCGCGATTACGTCGAAAGGGCAAGAGTGTTGAATGTTGGTCGCACACTCGTGAACCGTATCGCAAAAGGCTCGACGAAATTTCAATTTAGACACGGTCGATTAGCGGCAACGACGACGGAGACGACGATCGATAGTCACCTGTCGACGAGTGCAACGACAAGAGCAAGAGGGCCGGCGATGTTGTTGGCACGTTTGATCTTGTGCTGCGCACCAGGCTTAGCTTTCGCCGTTGTGAGCGACACGCCGAGCGTGATCTATCATGAAAAATTACCTTTGACTAGCAGCCCGAGTAGCGCCGAGCGTTTTTCAGGTAACCGGCTGCCCAGGTTGGAACTAATGGAAAATCCATAGAGCGCCAAGGGGTGAACGTTAAAAGCGACGACCGGCGTCGTCCCGACGGCGCAGCGCGTCGTCCTCGCGCGAGTTATTGCACTACGCGGAGTTAAACAAGCGACGTGCGTACGATTATTAGTCCTTTCGCGACGCGAGCGATCCTCTGCGATCGATCCGACGTAGATCTGCTCTTTCGGCGCGTTGCGCGAGGATTCCCACGGTTTGCGAATTAACGGCAGCGTTTTATCAGCCGCCCTGTCCACCGATCGATAGATCACTCGCGATACTGTGAGCAGGCTGAAAAAGTTTGAAGAGACGTTGTACTTTCAGAACGTGTTTCCTAGTAATTTTTCCTTTTTGAGGTTTCGCGTTAAATTTATCTGCATGAGTCCGTGCGATTGATGTGCGCGAGTTTTGATTAATTCGCTCCGGGACATGTATTATGGAACTCTTTGGTTCCGATCGGAATAATTCCGTTTTCCTTAGAAAAGACAATAGAAATCTAGGGAATAACAGAATTATTACGATCGAAATTGTTTCCAAAAAGTTCCATAATACATGCTCCGGTTCTCTGTCGCGGCCATCTTGACTTTTGAAGCGAGAGAAAATGTACGCGCAAAATTTTGCGTCAAAAATAAAAAGATATATTCGTACAGTTGGCACTTGCAATCAATCGAGCAATATTGTAAAGCAGTCTGAACACTTTCTTTTTATTCAATTAATAAATAATTATTAAAGTTTAAGTAATCTTTATTTTTAACCGTAATTCTTCGCTACTTTTTTTAAATTCATCTCTTCTCGTGATTTCCTTTTTTACGTTTTTTACGTAAATTTTATTGTTATTTATCGAATGTTAGAGCAAAAGAAAAGTGTTCGAACTATTGTAGATCTGCTTGATCGATTGCAAGTATTATTTTGTGAATATAAATTTTATTTCTGCGTACTTCGCGGTAATTTCGAGCGTGTATTTATTCGCTTTGACGTCATAAAAATCAAGATAGCCGCAGCGAATAGCCGTAGCGCCAAGAGCCTCAAGGAAATTGTAAGGCAAGTCCGTTAAAAATTTATCGAAATTTATACTACATATAAACTGAAACATTATCTAACTATTCATACAATAAAAAGTTGATTTTCGAGAATTGAAACATTTGACACTAAAATTGACATACTAAAGTTTTTATACGTATTCCTTGGAGTATTGTTTTTAATTTCCATTTCTAATTTTCTATTTCTAATTTTTTGTAAACCAAAATTAGATTTTTTAATGAAAAATTATTATGATATTAAAGATTAATCTCCCGACATTATACACAAATTATATAAAAAAATATATATTTCTTATATTTGTAATATTATGTTTATATCTATCTCAACTTTGTCTCAAATTAACATTTATTATTTAGATAATGAAATAAACGTATATAAAAATAATTTTGTTCGATAATCATGAATATTATGAAAGCTTAAGAATGTCTCCTTGATGCGTCGTTGAAAATAAAAATAATGTTATAATAAAAATAAAAATTAATTTTTCTAACTTTTTAGCGCGCTAATAACAGTTAATCTTACTTTTTTGTTTTTCTTTTAAATTAAACAAAGACAGACATATGATTTAATTGTTTACCAAGAGGTTGGAAAAATCCGCTTTAAGCCTTATAACTTCCTCAAGAAACTCATAGAGAGCGAGAAAGGCATATAAAAAGAGAAAAAAAAATGAAAAGAAGAGATAGAGGGGAGAGAGAAGGGAGGAAGGACAGAGAGAGAAAGAGGAATCAATAGAATTGGCCTAGAGTGCCGTTGACAATTGAATGCACGTTTGCACCAACACGGGAATTGGCAGTTTCGTATTCACGTAATTGGATAATCTATTCTAATAAAACGACCCTCGCGCACCGCCTATTTGATCTCATGCGACAATTCGACGCGGGTCATGACCGTTTCTACTAGAATCAGCCGTTCGATTACGTAAATGTGGAAGTTCGAAACTTGCGCCGCGCAGGACGGTCGGGGCGTTTAATCGCCGGTAACTCCGAAATCTATAATTACATATCGGGAAACTTCGGCGCAATTATGTGTGTGTGTGTGTGTGTGTGTGTGTGACACAATTATGAAACACCGTAATGGACCGCAGTTAGTCTCGCGGCGTAATAAATCACTAATTGAGAGGAGCTTATGCGACGCCAGTCGCGATTCGAGAGAATCGAACTGCGTCAGCTGCCCCTCGCCGCGGCGAGAAAAATAATGTCCGGTGACGAAGTATCGTGCGTATGTGTGCGGGAATAATAAATAATATTTATTCCATGTACAATAAAACACGCTAAGAAAAACGTGGCTATAAACGGGCTCGAACGTTGCACGTTCCTCGTCGCGCGCGCGAGCGAGCGAGCGAACGATCGATCTTGCCTTCCCGACCGTCAGCGTCGTGTCGTCTTCGCACCGTGGATTACACACTTCGTCGATCACCCAGAAACGCTAACTGATATTCTTAACCCAGTAATTATCCCGATCACCTGCTCCCTATTTGAATAGGCGATCTACCGCGTCGCGTGATCCGTCACTTGCGTTTTGATCGGAGAGATAGCCGACGATCGAGCGCGACTCAACAGAGGCGATCGCGCTTTCACAAGACTCAAATCACCACCGTGTAATCGAGGATTAACGTAACCGACGCGCTTAAACGAAATCGCGAACCGCTCGATAGGTAGAAAAGAAAGCGCACTGCCGGAATCAATTTTGCTTCTTTTACCCTTGCGAAGCGCACTTCGGAATTGTGAATCCCGTCGAGAATCGATTTCGCCAGTCCAGATGAGAGACGCACACCTTAACCCTTCTTTTGTCAAGAAAAATCACGAGATCACTCCGCAATTACGTTTCCCCACCGTATCATAAGTCACTTTTGTTTTACAGTCTCATACATAGAGGCACAAAGAAAAATTATTTACTTTTCCCGAATAAAATAGTCCGACTAAAAATGTATCCCATGATCCTGATCAGGTTGATCCTAATCAGTTATCTGGTTTGTACAAGATGATATGGAGACCTATAATTATTAACAATCTTCATTATTAATAAAATCCCGATCACCACTGATCACACTGCGTCACATGACTTATCAGAACTCGATGACATTACCTACAAACCAGATGACTAATTAAAATCAACCTGATCAGGACTATGGGATACATTTCTGGTTGAGGGAAGGTATGCGAAAAGGCATGTCCTTCGAAGGATCTGCGTGATTCTCTCTCACGCGTCTTTACAGCGCTTTCCGGACGCTGTGATGTTTGAATAGCAAGATTGAAGCCCGTAGCGGAAGAACTGCGTTGCGTGTAAAATGTGAAAGTACCTCTCGGTAATAGAAGGATTAAGCGCGGCATGTGATACGTGCGCTCCTCTTGCACACGCACGTGTGTGTGTATATAATATATATGTGTATAAGATATACATATAATGTATGCATGCACGGCCCTGGTGGAGCCGCCGAAAGGCACCGTCGCGCCCTTCGCTCGAGAGTTCGTCCGGTCGATCCGCGATCGACTAACAGTAGTCGAGCACGGAATTGCCGTGGACGATGCTAGCGAAGATCGCCCGGGCGCGCTCGACGGAAGACAACGGCTTGTCGACGTCGCCGTGTCGCCGACGGTGCGTGCCGTTCTCTTCCACTGGACACTCGCCGATCTTCCTCTCGACCTGGATCGCCGGAACCAGCAAGCTCGAGCGCACGTCGCTCTCGGACTTGGCGAACTTCCGGCCACTGTCCACGACGGCGTATCGCGACGACTCGAGCTTTTCCTTGGACACTCGCTTCAGGTTCTCCGACTTGGTCTGCCTGATAACGGACGCCAGGTGCCGTTTGATCACTCGCGCCATTTGCTGCGAGTCTTGCGTTCTGCTGGTGAGATTTGCGTTGACATTCTCTAGCATCTCGAGCAGCCAATCGAAAGACCGGCAGATCTCGTCGAAAGACTGCTGGCTGACCAGCAAGAAGTCTCTCCTTTCGTTCTGCTTCCTTTGCAGGGCGCTCTCCAGCTCCGCCATGTCGCTCTGCGTCGATCTTAAGTTGGTCTCGGCGACTTCGCGACGCGATTGTTCTTCGAGCAGCAGCTGATCGGCGCGCTTCGTCTGCTCCAAGAGACGATCATGTTCGGCTCGGACTTCCGTCAATTGTCTAAGGATATTCCTCGTCTCATCCGGGTCTTCTTGAAGATTCACGCTCTGCGTGGCAACGTCCACCTTGGTCGAGTCGAAGCAGTCGGGACTCGCTTTGTCGGAGCGTTGTGAGACGTCTTTGTGTTCTGGTCGACTCTCTATAGATTTATCGCGACTGCTCTCGTTCAATTCCGGCTGTATGTGAGACTGAAGATCTAGATGAAGAGAGACCTTAGGTATCAGTCGAACGACATCAAGCATCTGTGATTGTAAACTATCCCGTTGAGTAGCAGAATCGCACACTGGCGGCGATTGCGGTCGGATCTTCATCCTCGTCGGTAGAACCGACATCGGAGCCGTTCTTCTCGGGTGAATCATCTGGGACGGTCTTCTAGGGTACCTAGAGAGAGGAGCTCTTCTCTCAGCGGGAAGATGATTAGCGGACTTCCCGACCTGCTCATGCTCGCTTCTTCGAGTACTAACCGAAGAGACGGTCCGCTGATCTTTAGTCTGCAGTCTCATCCACCTGTACTCCAATTTCCCCTCGACGTTATTCTCCTCCAATCTGCGCATCACCTCCGTCGCGAGGCCTTCATTCAGATTCACGTTTCTTCTCACATCAAGCACGGCCAACGTGTTGTTCTGATTCAGCAGCTCCAACAAATCCGGATCGATCTGATCGGTCAAACCGCAGTGTTGGAGGTCCAGCGCCTTCAGCCACAGACTGTCGCGTATCGCTTCGATCAGCTCCCTCACGGCGCAATTGCCCAACTGTGGGTTGTCATTCAGGGTCAGCCGACGGAGGCCCCACATTGCCTCGAAATTTGGCTCGCGATACCTCAACGACTGCTTCCAAGCATCGTGGTACAGCGACATTTTCTGACGGGAGAGCGCGGACGCTATCGCGCCGCCGGAGCTCGACGTGAGATCGCAATGGCTGAGATTCAGCGACTTCACGCTACGAGTGTCCGCGATCGTGCGGCAGATTAGCTTGCAGCCGTCGTCGCCGATGTAGCAACGTCGAAGGGATAGATGGTGCAGAGTCTGTGTGCTCGACAGTCCGACACAGAGCACTGCGATGCAGTCTGGCGGAAAGGGGATACCCTCAAGCTCGAGATATGTGAGGCTGTTCGAATTCCTTATGCATTGGCCGACGCTCTGCGATAACCACTCCAACAGATAACGCGTGAGAACCACTGGAGCCTTTCCCATCGCTCGCGCCTTGTCCTCAGAGTTCACTTCTTCCAGCGGTTTGCGACATTGATACCTTATGAGGGTTTCACATTATATACACATGTCGGTTATATTCTCTCACCCCTCCCTTCTCTTTCTCTCTCTGGAAATTTTGATGACTTAGGACCAGTGATCCAAGTTGAAATTTTAGCCCTACCCTTTTGACGTGGAATGCTATTATGGATTTGTTCGGAATGAATTTCGATCGGAATAATCCAGTTATTCTCTAAATTTCTACCGTGTTTTCTAGGGAAAACGGAGTTACTTCAGACAAGTCTATATTAGCATCTCTGAACTTTCTAACATCTGTATATCCTGAAGGATCAATGTATGTACTGAGAGAAAAAATGGTTGATCTAACTAAAATTTGTTATTTTTAGCCTCAATCGTATTTTTTATTGTTCTAATACGAAAATGATAACAGTGACATGTACATAAAGTTATTTTCACTAACATTACAGCAGAATTCAATAAAAGATAGTTTTATTGACTATAATTTATAATAATTATTTTTCTGTGTGATTGTAATTACAAATACCAAACATTTTTTCTCAGCACACATCACATTTTCTCAGCATTTTTTTAATACATATGGAAACTGGAATCCTATTTAGTGCGTTAAATGAAATATTGAGATCTAAAGTAAGATCCAAATTTTGACTCATGTAATAGTTTTATGAAGATGACGATATCCAAGTCCGAAATTTTGATTCTACTTTTGATCTCAATATTCTATTTAACGTTTACTCTTTGATACTCTGAAGTCTATATCGATCTGCTTTTATTCTATTTAACTTACAAATTTGCCAAGAAGTTCTTTTTAAAACTTGCAAATTTTGTGCGTTTTCTACGTTTTAGAAGCGCCAAGTAGAACTTCAGTTTCCTTATGTATTAAACATACACTGACACACTTCAGAATATACAGAAGTTAGAAAGTTCAAGTCGAAAGTAAAGCTAAAATTTCGACTCATATGAACACTTCATGTGTATGTAAACTCCATTGACATTTTGAAAATAACTCCTTAATCGCTAAGATGCAGAATAATGGACACTGATGTGACCCAAAAAAGAAATCTCGAAAAATCCGATTGAATTTCAATTTGCTATGTACGCTAATCGATCTGAACGAACTTTGAAAGTAATTCTTTTATCTATAAGATATGTAATAACCGGTACTTGTGTGACCCAAAAGAGAAATCTTAAGAAACACGGTCGAGTTTCAGCCTGCTATGTATGCTGACCGATCTAAGTGAGCTTTTAAAGTGATTTCTTTATCTGTAAAATATATGATAATGAGCGTTTATGTGAACCAAAAAAGAAGTCTCGAAAAACCCGATCAAGTTTCAACATGCTGTGTACGCGGACGGACCTGAACAAGCTTTCAAAGTGATTCCTTTATCCGTAAGATGTGTGATAATAGATACTTATGTGAACCAAAGGAGAAATATCGAAAAACCCGGTCGAGTTTCAACCTGCTGTGTACGCTGATCGATCTGAGCGAGCTTTTAAAGTGATTTCTTTATCTGTAAAATGTGTGATAATGAGCGTTTATGTGAACCAAAAAAGAAGTCTCGTAAAACCCGATCAAGTTTCAACATGCTGTGTACGCGGACGGACCTGAACAAGCTTTCAAAGTGATTCCTTTATCCGTAAGATGTGTGATAATAGATACTTATGTGAACCAAAGGAGAAATATCGAAAAACCCGGTCGAGTTTCAACCTGCTGTGTACGCTGATCGATCTGAGCGAGCGATCGAGGGAAAGAGAATTCAGGATCGGTCCCCAGTCGTCCATCTTGACGCGATCAGTGGTGAAGTCCAAGCTGTGCGGCAGGGTCACACATATCACCGGCAACGGTCGCAGTCGTTGCTGCTTGCACAGCTCCATGTAGCAGCTGGCAAAGTTCCTGCCGGCCGGGATCGCCATTTTCTGCGGCGAAGCCGGTGCGGCCGCATCGATCTTCCGTCGGCGTCGCGACGGAACTTTACCCTCGAGCGTCGTAATGGTGCCGGTGGTTGTCCAGAATTATGAACAGTCTCGTGCGCTGCCATCGGTAAATCGGCGCATTAGCGGACGCTCTCTATTACTCGGCCTGCACGAGCGGCCTCGCGTTTTTAGCGCGAATGTATTCAGAACTTATTAGCGTGATAACGAACTCGTTACAAAATGCAAAATTACGTCAAGTGAGTTACCTCGCGCAGTCTTTCAAAGAAAAACGAACACCAGGAGTTTCTTGAAAGCTAGTTTTGTCTGGAGCTTTCGCAAGCTATGCGACGGCACTTACATATCTCTCCGTACGTATAATTTGGAAAATTTTACACTGCTATGAAGTTTCGCGAACAGCCCCCCGATTCGTGTTTCAGCAAGCAAGTATTTCCTACTTCCGCGTCATTCCGCGAGGAACTATTTCCGTCGAGAAGCAAAAGTTTACCTTCGTCGTTGTTGCTTTGCCCGAGGAGTAACCGCGAGATCACCACGAAACGTCATCTGCGTTACAAGATTTCCGCACAAGAGATTGAGCTGGGCTTCGTCGGAAGGAGAACGTACTTCGGAAACATCGACGGCGTTCTCCTCAAGGACGGTTCACGATCGCGATCGTTATTCGCCTACCCGCCTACCCACCCGAAATCAACGTAAAATATCGCCACGCGAGACACGGCGAACCTACAAACAAAACTCGCGCGCAAGCGGACTGAAGGTGTCGTCGCTTGCGATCGTTGCATTTTGACTTATCGAAGCTGCATTCTCCGAAATTACAACGTGATACGCGCGACCAATCTCGCATGAACTTCGAAGTACAAGATAGAAATGACAAATAATTTTTCCTCTATCCCTTCCCTCTAATATCTCTCTTCTCTTCGTATATTCAAGAAAATCATGATTCGTTGCTAAAAAATTAAAAAAATCTTTCATATGTACAAAATGCATTCTTAAACTGCTAAGTTTTCCCTCGAATCTTTATAAATTTCACCGTTTAACCAAATATGTCATGTTAATTCAATCTTTTTTTCTTTTATCTTTTTTACTTTTCTTTCCTTATATCATAACAATCAGACACTTGGATATATTATTATATACGCAGTAACCAAACTCTGACCAGTATTATACTTAAACACTTTGGTTACAGACCAGAATATTTCATTATAACTTTATATAAGAAATTATATACAAGAACTATACATAATTATTATATATAATATTGATAGAGAGAGAGAGAGAGAGAGAGAGAGAGAGAGAGAGAGAGAGAGAGAGAGAGAGA